GATGGGTGATCATGCCCAAAGACTAGTTATGAATGGATCAGTCAATGGAAGGATTCTCAAGGAGGATAGCCCAGGAATCTGCACCTGGCTCCTTTTTTTTTTTTTTTTTAAAGTATTTTTATCAAAGACTTGGGGGAAAAAAAAGCATAAACGCCAACCTTATCAAACAAACACAAACTATTAAAATAAATGGCAACATCGTACAACAGGCAGGATTCAAAAAGATCTCCAATCTCCAGACTAAGAATGATGGGCCAAAAGAAAAATTTGAAGACTTGCAGTTAGGTTCACAAATCAACTTGAAAACCCAAGTTGTAGAAAGTGTGGTTAGATAGCATTTTATCTGAAAAAGATGTGGGGGTTTTAATGAATTACATGTTTAACATGAATCAATAGTGTGACATTGAAGTAAAAAATGCTAAGGCTACATTAAGAAACATTATCTAAAACAGGGGTTCTGAATCTGGGATTCATGACCTTGGGTTTTTTAATTTTAATTTTTTTTATTAATTTATCTTTAGTTTTCAACAATCACTTTCATGAGTTTTAAATTTTTCTTCCCCCCCCTCCCCAAGATGGTGTGCAATCTGATATAGGCTCTACATATCCATTCCTATTAAACCATGACCTTGTTTTAAACCATATTTTGATAACCATATTTCAAAAAATAGTTTCCTTTATAATTTTATGTATTTTATTTTATGCATTTAAAAACTTTTTTTTGAGAAGGGGTCCAAGGTCTTCACCAGACTGCAAAGGGCCCATGACATAAAAAAAGGATAAGAATTTCTGATTTCAAGCATAATCAGATTGTGATCCTCTACACTGTGATCATACCATATGGAAACACAATTGAAAAAACTGGAAATGTTTCCTCTGGGTAGTGTACTAAGCTGCAGAACATCCGGAAGAGGGCAAGCAGGGAGGTAAAGGGTCTTGAGATAATGCCGGATGAGGATCTGTAGAAGGAATTGGGAATTTTGAAAGAAGAGGGCCTAGGGGTAGGTGGGACAGGTTTATTCACTGCCACCTGGACCAACATTTAGACTTGCTCTGCTTGACCCCAGAGGTCAGAACAAGGAGAAATGGGAGGAAGCTGCAAAGTGGTAAATTTAGATGTGCTCTAAAGAAATACCTCATTAATAATGAGGGCTATCTAAAAAGTAGAATAGGAATTAACTATCACTGCCATCCCTGCTAACAATCATGATGATAGAACTTTCTCCAACTGAAGGTGATGAAGGACTTTAAAAAGGATTATATTTGATGTTGGAAAGAATAGGGAGTCACTGCAATTTATTCAGAAAGATTTGTGAATACTTCCTTGGCACTTCAAACCCAACCTTATTAGTTGTCTTTCCCCCTCCATTCCTTGGCTTAAACCTGCTCTTCCGATTTCACTACTTTTATATGTTGCAAATATTCACCCTACCTCCCATGTTTGTAATCTTGGGGTCATTTTTGGATATGAGAAGTTAGGAAAAGAAGAGCCAGTTGGTTATCAAGACCCACTGATTTTACTTCTGTAACATCTCTTTTATCATTTTCCCATCTCCCTAGCTCTGCTTCTATCACCTTAGTACAAGTCCTCTACAGCTGTAGCTATTACAATAGCCTCCAATATGGCTTGCTCCCTTTTTTCTTTCCCCTAACTCACTATTCACACTACTTCCAAAATAATCATCCTTAACTCTTCTTTGAATTTTCAGCTCTGCTGAGTTTTAACTCCAGAAAGATGTCCCTCCCAAGATAAGCTTATCATTCCTAATCTCATCACCATATGCCACTAACTAAAGCCCTGAATCCTTTCATCCTCCTCTCCCCTCTGACTGGGGGGTAATGTGCTGAACTCCCAAAGACTTCCTTTACAGAGGGTAGAAATTAGACTTGTAGCTCACTTCATTTCCCATCTGCAGCTCTGCAGATGTTCCTTCACTATGGTTATTCTCTGGTGTGTCCCCTCCCCTCTCTTTCCAGCTTCCTTTTGTGTGTTGTCTTCCCCCTTTAGACTAGAAGCTCTAGGTACCAAGGGCAGGTACTTTCATTCTTTTTCTAATTTATATCTCTAGTGCTTAGCATAGTGCCTGGCACATATTAGGCTTGTCAAGTCTAGATCCCCTATAATCTTCCATCATCTTATTTTTTCATGAATTTATGCCATGCCACTCTTCTTGAAGCACTGTAAGTTCCAAGAAAATGGACCGATCCTCCTGATTCCTGAATATACCTTGCGCTTTCCTACTTTCATGACTTTATTCATGCTATTCCCGATATGTGGAATGTCTTTGCTCCCCATTTCTGCCAATTATTAATTAAAGTGCTGTCCTTGCCTCGATCCCCAGGCCAATAATGAACTTCCTAACTGGGACTTCACAAGGCACTTTCTCATCAATCTGTCATGTAATAAATATTATGTATTTATAGTTATCTGTATTTGGTTCTTACTCTTTTATTGCTGATAAACCGAGGCAGTGACCATGTCTTACCTACTAAACTTGTCAGAAAACACAGTAAGGATCTAAATAAATGGTGAATGAAAAAACGAGATCATTCTTCTGAATTCTGAAATCCTGTCTATACCATTTATTTGGTACTTCATTTTATGCAAATGTCTTGCATTATTACTTACCTTTTTCTTGTGCATATTTTCTCTCAATAGGACTGTACATTTTTCAAGAGCACGGGCTCTACCTTATATTTCTTTGCATCTCTCAAAAATGGCACTAAACTATTTAAGTCCTACAACTATATATATATATATATATATATATATATGTGTGTGTGTGTGTGTGTGTGTGTGTGTGTATACACATATATATATACACATATATACATTTTAACATTTGGCCTATATTTGACAAATATGATAAAGCATATTAAAAGTTCAAACCAAATGTATTAAACTATGTCTCAAATTTTACAAAACCAAGAATTCATGATAATTCAAAAACAACAAAAAACCCAAATTCCTGAACAAATATTTCATCAATAGAAGTCTTCCTTAATTTATTATACACGAGCCCCCAATTTTTCTGACAAAGTGCTGAGGTTAAGTTATTTCCTGAGACTCCAGTCACTTACTATGCTATGGAAAAGAGCAATGAAAACAAATCTAATAATGCAAAAATAATTTCAAAGAAGAGAACAAAATGGAGAATACTAAGAAGGATGGAAAAAAATCTAAAATAATGAACTTTAAGGAAACACTTAAAATCAGATACTAGTGTAAAAATGGCACTTTTGAAAGCAAAACAAGTAAAACTAAAAAGTTTTAGAGAAAAAATAAGGAAGGAAAGTTATCAGCAAAAGGTAAATAAAAGTCTAAGTATAACAGGAAGTCTGGAAAGAGAAATGACTATTTGTATATCATTTAAAAATGAGAAAACAGCATGAGGAACAATTCTAGTAAGAAAATAACATTTTTTTTAAAAAAAGCTGAAATGCAAAAGCTCTTTCTATATCCAATAAAAAGGCATTAAGGCATTTTTCATCTTATTATTTTTTTTTTGCAGTGACCTCATATTTGCTGGGGATATAGCCATGTCCAAAAAAATTTCACATTCTTTGCTTGAGAAAATATGCTAATTAAACTTTAAGGACCAAACATGGTATTACATTAAAACTTTATGCAGAATATTTTACCTCTGGAAACTATGACTTATGAAATGGATATGATATACTGGAGGTTGTGGGGAGAGGAATTAAGCTTCACACATTATTCACTCAATTTCTTTATAGATTTCCATTTTTTTTTGTTAATTATAAAAACTGTGACTTGCATTTATTTTTATTTTTTTTCAAAAGCTATTTATTGCAATCCTGTCCTTGCCTATGCTGAAAAAACGAAACATTTTAAGTTCATTTTTAAAATTAAAATAATGGAGATATTATTTAATAAAGACTTCAGTTTAATTTATATGTTAGCTGTTACTAAAACTAGTTTTTTAAAATTTTGGTTTCTGAATAGTTAACTATCCTGTTTTACCATGTCAAAGCTCCAAAGCTCACTACATTACCTTTCATGATGTCTTTTAATTTTAAGTTATTACACCTGTTTTTACTAGAATGTAACAATTTTTTAAAGTCCTTAGTCTTAAATTCTATAGTGTAACTGTGTAGTTACAACACATAGTATCAAACTCATTCATTTCCAAGTACACATTGCACCATTTTTTTGTCAGTGAGACAACAGGAATCACACCAAAATATCTTGCACTGCATGGCTTCGCTGTACAAACAAAACAAGGTTTGCCAACTGTTAAGACCAATACAGGAAATCAAACTTCATCCGGAAAGAAGCATTCTGGTTATGGAAAGAGTCTCTGAAAGGCACCAGTACTGAGTTTCTTGCAACTGATAGGGTTTTTAACAGCTTGGTTTTAGTTTCTGAGTCGAAGCAGGAAAGGAAGCAAGACAAATCTAAGCTGAAGGACTACTACTCATTCTCTAATCCTGAAATAAAAAAGGACCTAAACTAACTCCCGGGAGGAAGACAGGAATAAGGAATGGCAGTGTGGAAGAGATTCACACCCCAAAATAACTGTGATATCTTACCATCTGTAACTATCACCACTGCACTGGCACTCTGCCTATATGTGTTAGGTGAAATATATGAAGCTTTAATGATGGAAGAGCTTAATTTCTTTAGTGAGCTAATTAGGTAAATTTTTGTGCAAATGTCTAGGTAATTTCTTTTAAAAAACAAAATTAACTACTATAAAAAGATGGGACTTTAACAAAATTAGTCTTGTTCACCCCTCTCCAAGTACATCAAAATGTCTATACTTCTTTTTTAATTCTTGTTGAAATTCTGGAAATTTGAAGATGAAAGGAAAAGCTTATTTGGAATTTGACACCTTATTCAGCAGGTGTAGCTTAAGTTTTTCAAATATTTTTGGGGAAAAAAACTACCAATAAAGTGTTCTTTATCTACCTATTTACTTACACTTTACTCATGAAACCTACAATGAAATTTTATAATCAGGGAGAGAAAAACTTACCTAGTTGGTATTTTGAATAATAGTTTGCCATTTGTCCACTGTTACAAGATTGTCGCTTATGTCTTTTTGTTGATGTTTCTGTGGTCTTCCATGAGGGTCTTTTTCTTTTGTTCAATTTACTAAGAACTTCAGAACTATCAGAAGCATTCTTATCAAATTTAATATGTTTGTCTAATTTATTGCCATCAAGTTGGCTAGCAAAAGTGTCAGGGGAAGTATTATTTGCTTTAGATTTTTCTATTGCTTCAGATTGCCTTTTATGAGAATTTTGCTGCGCAGAATGGGATCTTAAATTACAGTGTTTTGCTTCTTCAACATAAGTTTGATGATTACTTTCACTCTCAACAGATTCAGGTGAATAAATGATTGTATTTAGCTGAAATGGATTTCTCTGTTCAATATGATTGATTTTCCTCAAAAATATCCTACAGTCTTTAAAGGTTTTTGACCTCCAAGAACTTGAACACACTTTTCCTTGTCTTGATACTTTCCCAAAATCTTTATGGCTGTAGTTGGTTTCATTCTCTTTAGCATGTAATTTTAAAATGCTTTCTAAACTAGCATGTGTGCTGTAGTCAGGCAATTCTACCTTCTGTTGCAAAAAAGCATCCCTGATTTCAGGTGCTAAGACCAACTGCTGATTTTCTGCTGTGTTTTTTCCTTGAAGTGTGATGTCAGCATCTGTTGCCCCTGCAGTCTTATTTACAAACTGGTTCTGGCAGAAAAATCTCAAGTTTCTTCTTTTAGATTTCCAATCAACTGTTCCATGATTGTGAAGCTTTTTAACTTGTCTCCATCTTTCATGCTGCAGTCTCTTAAATTCAGTTCTCCTCAATCTGGCTAGTGTGAAATTACTTTTCACATTTAACACTGGAGATCTAACAATTTTACGCAATATCTGTAATTTCCCTGCTGATTTTGAAGGAGAGGATAGTGCAAATTTTTTAAAGTGCTTTCTGAAAAGGCTAGTATTATGATCAGATTGTTTGTTTCCAACTTTGATTCCTCTGGTATTAATTACTTCCAAAGGATTTCGAGCATTTGCTTTTCTAACTAGTGAAAGAGACTGTGTTTCTGTTGTTTGCATAAACCAGGTACAAAGCTCATTCATGTCACACTTTTTCTGAAAAAGCATTTTTACGGGTGAAACTTCAAGTTCTAAAAGGCAGGTTTCCAAAGGGCTTGGCACTTTAAAACTACCATCCTTTTCTAAGTGGCCTCTTGCTTCATGAAGACAATTTTCTGTTTCATTTCCACTCACTTGCACCCAAGCATTAGTTATCTGCTCAAATCTATTGTTTAGCTCCTCTAACAAGGAATCATTTGAAGTAGTAGTTGCCCACCACCTAAGAGAAGGGCTTGATGAAAAAATAGGATCCAATGATACTTCATTAATAGTTGTGAATTTACCATCATCGGGATTCTTTTTTGTATTACCCAAATTTCTAGCTCCTGAGGTATCTTTGGAAGCTATTTTCATATTTGAGTATTTGCATTTTTCTTTTTGATCTTTAGTTTTTTGGAAATGTAGTTTATATGATTTACGTAGCAAGTTGTTTCTATAAGCAAATGAATTAGAAGATGCTAGAGAATGTAAAAAATGCAGTGATGGCTTTCTGTCCCTAACAGAATGTCTCAAAGGTACTGGAGAAGCCATATTCTTTGATCTCTCCTCAAATAAATCAGTTTGAGTGCTTTTTGTTTTATCCATTTTATTGCACTGGTGTTCATGCTTTTCTTCTGATAGGTTTTTTTCTAGCATACTGTCTTGATCTAAAGGAGGCAAGCAGCTGCTTATACATACTTTTCTTTCTTGAGGTGAAACTCTATTAACAGTCACAGATATGCCAGAGATTTTAACTTTTGCAGGTCTACCAGGTTTCCTAATTACTGTCAAAGGCTTTTGGCTTGTCCGAATAATATTGCTGTAAGGGTAAGGTAACACAGATTTGTTCTTGATAGGTCTAATGTGTTCATAGCCACATGCAAAGATATCCTTTTCAGTAGTCAAACTTGGTACAGCGGTCATTCTTTCATCCAAACCAATATCTGCTGTTTTCTTATGTTTCAGCCCATTAAATTCATGCAAAAAATCAGCATTACTATTATTGAAAGGTATAGCATTGCCTAGGCTACCTTCTGACACATGTCTTTTAATTCTTCTTGACCTTCCATAAACAACAGTCACTGTGATACTTTTTCTACTAATACCCTCATTTAAGCCTGACACCAGAGATTCTGTGTTTTTCTTCCCAACATTGCTGATGTGCTCACTTCGGCGTATAGTACTTTCTATCTTATCAACTTTAGGTTTTGGTGGCCTTCCAATTGGTCGCTTAACCTGTTTTACAACTTGAGGACCTATTTTTTTAGGCCTACCTGGTTTTCTTTTTAAAGATGATTCACTAGCACTGTTTGATTTATCTATACATTCTTCCTGCTGCTTACAAATATTCATATCAGTTACATTTGCTGAACAGGGTTCTACAGTTTCTTTTACACAACTAGATTTTTTTTGTTCTCCTTGTGAAGTGTCATTTTCTGTATTACAACTGTAATCACCAAAATATGCACCTGGGAGACTCTTGTTTTTTTCATTTTCTTTTCCTACTGAAGGGCTAGTTGGGCATTTTTCAAAAGAACATAGGTTTGCATTGGAAGTACTGACAGATGTTAAAGTATATTTGACTCCTTCACTACTATTAACCTCTGAAAGAAACATGAGTTTGATAGGACTAGAGTAACTGGAAAAAGAATTTTCCACAACTTCAGACCTTGTCTGTGAAGTCAAACTACCCAAATCTAAGTGATTTTTTTTGAGGTTATCAAGTCTTTTATCCATTACATCTGCATGTTCTACTGTCACAAGACAATTGCTTTTATTACTATTGCTGGATGACACTTTAGAATGTGATAAGAAACTCTGTTCTTTACGTGTTTCACTCACACAAAGATTCAAATTTCTAGAAGCATTTTGGTCTTTACAATGAACATCTTCTTTTAACTTCCTGGATATTTTGTATCCTTCTGATAATGGCTGATTATCCAATGTATTTTTGGCCATATTTATAGTATCTTCTAGACGTTCCACAACAACTTGTAAATTTGTATTCCTTGCGATTTCATTTATGTCTATGTTGTTTGATCTATCAACCTGAAGGTCTTTCGTGGTATCTTTTTCTGTAGACTTCTTGGACTTGGGAGATTTTTTAAACACAAAATTATTTGTTACATATACAGAATACCACCCAGGAGGCACAATGTTTCGCCTAGTTCTGTTTAAAAGTCCAGTAAAATCATCTTTCAGAGGAATATGATTGTTTTCTAATCTAGGATTTTCTCTATGATTTTGTATTTTCTTTTCAGCTATAAATTCTTTCTGTGATTTTGTTATGCTCATTTTCTCTGGTGTTGTAGCTGTAAAGCTTTCTGAAATTGTGTCAAAACTAGAGTTCGTTTCCAAACTATGAAGAGGTAGTTGCAATGATTGTATTTCATATACTGGCAAAAATGTAGATGCTTCTTCATGATTTGAACTTTCAATGATTTTAGAATTTTGGAAAGCAGAGTCTTCTAAAATGTAGGATTCTTTGTCTATTGATACTTTCTCATCATTGCGTATCAATTTCTTTGAAATTTTTTCAGATGATTTTTTTCTTGCAAAATTTTCATCAAGGCTAGCAATTTCTCTCTTTATTTGTAAAGACTGTCTTCTAAACAAAGGTGAATCAGGAGAGTTATGCATTGCAAACAAGGTTTCCTGACGCTTTCGGAATCTTGTCTGTATGATTTTATTTTCTACTTTTTTATCATGTTGACTCAATAGCTCCATAAAACTATAGTCACTAGCCTTTGCATTATGCAAAAGAGATGTTATTAAATCACCTAATCTTAGATTATCATTTTCAGCATTACTGTCACTACTAGCTACTTTTACAAGGCTTGTTATATCCGTAGTTTCAATTGATTTTAACTTTTCATTAATTCGCTCCATTAAATCTTGAAAAATTGTAGTACTCTCTCCTTTATCGATTTTTTCATGATTTGTAAAATGACTGCTTTCTTCTGCTATGAGCAAAGAGCCATCTGAAGTATCAGAAGTGTTTGCTTTGCGTATTTTACCTTCATGTTCACAATTGCTATTGTCTTCTGCTGGTATGAGAGATGGAGGCTGATTGATAATTGCTTCAAGTTTGTTGTTTTCTAAAGCTGAAATGCCTGAGATTGAATCTTTAAGTTTTTCAAATCCTTCAGTCTGTATAGGTGATAACGGTGGTGGTGAAGGACTCCGAGATCTGTTAGTATCTTTAATATTGATTGACAGATCACATACTTCAGGTAAAGAAAGAGGAGTATAAAAGGTTGATCTTGTAGAGTGATTGTTACAGTTTTGTAATAGTCTAGAACAGCACCTGTGGGGATTGTAATTGTTGGCAATTTCTCTATTAACTACTGTCTTAATGTGCTCAATAGCTACAGTTTGGCAAGATAAGCAATGAAAATCTTTAATACACACTGAAAGGGGTGCTAAGCCAGAGCTTTGTCTTTCATTCTGTAAACACCCTCTTTCTGTTAGCCTATATTCACCACAACTACAGAACAGACCATGCAAATCATCTTCAATGAGAGATTTTTGAGATTCTGAAGACAGAGCATATGATGAATTGCAACTGCAAAGTGAAGAAGCTTTTTGCTCTTGAATTAGAAATTTCAACATAGTCAAAATCTGTTGCTGGTGATATGTGCACAATGATTCCAAAACTTTGTTTAATGTTGACTTTCCTTTTTCCATTTTAGTAGCTTCCTCTGATTTTGCATCAAGAGTTGAACTAAAAATAAAAATCAAACAAAAATAATAAATGACAGTAAAAGTACCAAAAGTATATGGGACTATATAATCTTAATATTAATAATGAAAAATCTTTTTTGGGTTTTTTTGGGTTTCAAAACCCCAATACTACAAGATCTGCAATATGGTATCTTTTCCACTTATTTTAGAAATATATATCAGTGTAAATGACAGCTGATAATAACAATGAAGTAATATGGCAAGAGATTATTTAATGACAAACTCCTATTTTAAAAGAAAAATTAATAACTGCACATAAATATTAGTATTTGAAAAACACTACATTTCTCAAACATATCAATTATTTTAGAGCCCTTAATTGTCAAAATGCTTTATCATGACTTCATAAGATTTTGTGAGGTAGGCATTTTAAAATTATTTTAATAATCTACTACTGGGCCATATTCTTTTTGTACACTTAAGGAAAAATATGCAGAAGAATATTATCTTTCTTTAAAATAAAGAATCATAACATTAATAAAATATTAATGAAAATAGAAGTCTACAAGAAAATATTTATGTAATTTGGATCTTAAAAAACTCACAGATTTTCTTACCTAAGGTTAGGTCAAAATATTCTTACCTAATAAAATTTTGAAGGTATTTAAAAATATTTTTATTAAACAACTTCTTGAACTGAAAGAAAGTTACTTAAAACTAAATATATTACTTACCTATAATTATTTAATTAGAAATGCTGGAAAAATGTTCATGGCAGAAACTAATAAAAATCTATCTTCAATTAAGCATAAGATTGAGTGTTGTATAGCAACTAATAAAAATGTGTATAATTTTTCACCCAGTACCAGTAGCAAGAAGAACAAAATATATTAAAAGAATTCTGTTTCAGAAAAGTATGTATTTATGTTAAACATATCACCAAACTCTGAACATGAAACTAGCCTTTCATTTATACTAGATGTCTTATTTTTTCTTTATTTTTAAAGCCCATTTTGTGAAACTTTTAATCAAGATGTAGATTTGCTGATAAATTAAAATATATCCTTAAGTTTAATATTTAGGTATATGTTTCTACTGAGGGACATTGTGAATATTTCTAAGTATAATTACACATATTTATTGTGTATTAAAATGACATTAAATATAAACGTTTATTATTTGCCCATTACAAATATCCCACATTATGCGTAATAGATACATGTAGATTGGAATGTTTCATCTAAAGTACATTTTATGTTTTGTTATAAATATAGAAAATGTGCTTCAACAAATTTAGGAAATGTCTTTCTAAAAAAATAAATGAATTTTTAGTACTCACTAAATTTCTTTTCACGCTGGTGTGAATTTATTATGCTATTTAAGACAAACTGATATCAAAGTAGGAAGAATCACAACATAAGTAAGCAAATACACTGAAATTTTCAGCTTCCTTGGGGGAAATAATTTGATACTGGGGAACTTGACCTGTTTAAAAATAATTAGTGATAAACATCAAACTGTGTAGTCTGTAATTATGGCACTGTCACCTAAGTTTCATTAACAGACAACTACATATAATGATATACATAGGAGAAAATTGAAAAGAAAATTAAAATATTAACTCTGGATATGTGATTTCTAATATTTTTCTATGCTTTAAGAAAAGTGGTTTTATATTTCACAAATTAGCAAAACTGAAGATGTACATTAATTCAAAGTTAAATAATTTTGTGTTTTCATATGTAAGAAATGTATATATGTATGTGTGTATACATATCTGTGCATATATATATATATATGTATACACACAGAGTATATAAAATATAGCTAACTGATGAATGCGGAGAACTGACTAGATGTTTCCCAAGAAAATATATTAGATTTCAATGAATTCATTTAATGTCTTCTGGGGTACTAGTTTCTGAAATGGCCAAATGCTATAAAATCAAGCAGAAGACAAAAACAGGCTTTTTATTTCACTTAAAGAATATTCAAATATTTAAAGATGTTCATGTAACAAACTCTTTTTCAGCTTTTCAAAGGCAAACTATACAGTTAAAAAAAGGGATGCTTTCTAGTTTAATCTTCCCTTTAAAAATGTACCTAAAATATATGCAACAGTATAAATTGCTTATTTATATTACTCTTCTTTTTACAGTTCCTTTGATACTGGAACCTCAAAGAAACTGGTATGAGAAACATGAAAACTTAAAGGAAAGAATTTATTCTTAAGTGATAAAGTGAAATACTACCAAACAGTTTTCCATACAAACTCCTTCTATATTAGTTTTTTGGGGTGTTTCTTTTGGTACATGAATTTTTAGTAGAGGTATTCTTTTTGAGTTATCAACAAAAACATTTAATAACCTTTATTTACTGTTACTATTTATTCTGTATACTACAAGTAGTTATTATTGAAATATTTCTATTAAGTAAACTTAATTTTTATTTAGCTTTAGTAAATCTGTTCCCTAGAAGTGAGTCAAATACAACAATGTAGTCATTTTTTTTCTTTTTTACTGAATGAGCAAATCAATCACACACCAGTGTTGTAAATTTATGTGCAAAAGCATTGAAGTGCTTTACTACAAATTACAACCTAGAAACACGTTAACTGAACAATTAAAATTCATACAATCAGATTTAGGTATATAACAACACAAAGAAGGAACAGAATTACAGTACATTTACAACACAAGACAGATACATGGAATTCATTAGAAAATATTGTAATAAATAATTCATGAATTATAGTGCAATTGATTTATGCATAAATATAACTAATTGCCTAAAAATCAGTTTATATTAACAAAATCTGTCAAAATCAAGGCAGCCACAGAGTTTTACTAAATTACTGCGACAATGGAAATACTGCAATTAAAAAACAAATACAAGTATTTGTACTGTAAACAACTAAAAAAAAAATCAGTCTCACTAAAGTTAGTATACAATTTAATATAAAATTGTCATTAGCTACCAGAAATGGTTTAAACAACTTTACTGAGCAGTAGTTCTAAAAACAGAGGCACTGTTTTTTGTTTTTGTTTTTTTTTCTTTTTAATATAAAATACTTGAGAAACATTCAAATAAGTAGAAAGCACAATAGGGGTTGCTTTCACCTTCATTTAAAGGTCTGCTGAAACTGGATTTTTCAGAAAATTGTCAATTAATTGTGACTGGTAACTGAATTATAAAGTAGTTCAAACGTAAATAACATAAAGAACATTTTAATGGAATACACTGGGGAGAAGGGGAACCCATAAATTTCCCTGCCTTTCCTTGTTTGTAAAATCAGAGGTTAGCCCAATAATCAGAAACAAACACATTTTGCTTCTTTTAAAACGGTTATGGGTTGATCATTATCTATAGACTATCAAAAAATATTTTAATATACTATTTCTGACCAAAAATAAATAATGCAAGTACTCAAATGCTGCAAATTAACTATAATATTACCTATAAAACTACTGATCACTGTGAAGTCAATAGTAAAATGATCCCTGATTTTATGAATCCTGTCAATTTTTGGTCAGGTCATCTTTTAAATGATATAAAAAGTGTACTGCATCTCTTCCCTTTACTATAAACTTCTCAATCAATTTATTTAATGTAAATATAGTGTGAGGAATAAAAAAGGTCAGTACAATATAAATATTAGGCAACGCATTCAAGTCCCCAAAGTTTTTTAAGTAAAATTCTATATAAAGAGGTCACAAAATTGAAATTTTTATTTTACTTTCAACTTGTTTTTGCAATGGGATGGGATATATTAAATAATCGATCATCGTTCTGGCCCTCACAAAATATGGCTTAATTCTTTAAAAAGAAAGATGACCCTGACATCTGCTGTTTTGTAATCTATTAGGTATAGCATTTCCTTTAAAAAAGTATGGAAGGATTCATATCCTATTACCTATTCTATAGGTAACAATAGTTGAAGAGGGTTCAATATAGACCTAAGAGACCAAATAACTAACAACTTGGTTGTGCCATTTATTTTCTTATTTGTTACTTTAAAATACATGAGCAGATTTTAAGGTTAATGACCGAATGCTCAAGTATTACTATACATATGAGCATTAACCTTCACAAACATAAGTGTAAAAACCCAAGTATTTGAGTCGGTACTTTTCTTGAAAAGTCACTTAAAGCCCTGCTTTTGGACTTAGGAAAACTGTATTAGAAAAGTCATCTAAACCTGAATCTTAACACAGAAAAAGGACATTAGTTCAGGACTGAAGTTATATAAGAAAATCTCTACTCTTTTCATGCAGGGATTTGCTTTTATAACATTACCCAAACTGCATAGTCCTTTAAAATCCAACATGGATGCTTTTTTTAAAAAAAAAAAAACAAAAAACTGCTATATGAAGGTAATTGGTCTCTCCTAGTATCTAATAAAAGTTAAAATGTACTACCCAACTTCTAACTACCCAATTAATTAGGAGTTTACATTAATGAAAGTTCAAAACAGCTTCAGTGTTTAATATTTGTAATTCTATTCAAGACCCTGAACAAACTGCAAATTTGGTTATTAGCAAAATGAAAATGTATCGCCCACCAAAATGAAAATCTGTTATTCATTTTGATAAACTGAAAATGTTTTGAAATGTCACAGCAGCAAATACATTTAAAGTTACAGTGAGGTTTTTCAATAGTAGGAGTGTGACACAATCCTTAAATTAAATTTAAAAGTAGTCATAACATCAACTAACCAGCACGTTTAAACCAAAAATTACCATTCTCAAACTTCTCTGCACATTATAAACATGCTCTAAGTTGCATTCAACCTTTCTTCTCTAACCTTACAAGTTAGCTTATTTTTCAAACTAAAAAGAAAATTAAGTCATTTTAATAATTAAATTATTATATGTTCTTAGTATTCCATCTTATATTAAAAGGATTCTAGAACCGCTTGGGGTTAACTATATTTGTCAGTTCTTTTAAGGATATATTTTGCAAACCCCAATTTCTTGCTAAACCAACAGTAAATTATAAATGTCCTGTTTTGCCTATTAAAACATACATTTAAATTTTCTTTTATATTTTTAGTGGATGCTTTGAATGTATTTTGTGTTCTACAGAATGTACTGTAGTGTACTAATACTGCATGCATCCGTTTTTCCTTGTATGGATAGAAGTTTTTTCTTTTTAAAAATTTTCGTTTGATTTACTTGAGGTGCTTACAATAACTGTAAATATTGTTATGTAAAATGTTTATAAACCATTAATCATTTATTTCCATAATAAGATGGTTTAACTGAATGGCTGGGGTGGTCCTTCACCAATAAAAATAATGCTTCACATGACATTTACTTGTTTTTCCACAACGTTTTATGCTATTGACTACTAAAGAAAACCTGAACTTTTTTCACCTATTTATACAAGGATTAAATAGAAACTATCAGAATTAAGTGAGGAACTCTATAATTCTGTCCACAGTGAAAACCCTGAATAAAACTTTTTTTTTCAAAAAGGCATGTATGTGGTTTTTGAACTGTAAAGTTTCATGTCTCCTGTCAAAGTGAGCATATGTAATTCCCACACGTGTATACAGACATACACACATACATACCTGTGTGTACACGCACACGCATGCACGCGCACACACACACACACACACACACACACACACACACATCATTTTGCTAACAAGTAATCTACACAGGCTTGCTGCTATTTTCGCAGCTGCCAGTCCCTGAATCTGTCATATTAAATAACCCAGTGTCCGGTAATCGGAGTTTCTTCTTCGGCGGAGTCTTCAGTGTTCCAGATCTTTCCTTTACCTTGTATTCTAAAGTGCTGTGAGGTACCCCATAAATTCCTTGTGCTTTGGAAACACTCATTTTTCCACTCATTACCATTGCAATAGCCTCTTCCATTATTTCATGATCATACTGCCGATAGCGGCCACGTTTTTTCCTAGGCTGCTTATTATCTTTGCGATCCAATCCATCTTCCGTATTTTCAGAGTTTCCATCAACTGTTCCATTTTTAGAATTAAGACACAAAGGAGAGAGGTCCCCATGTAGAAAGTAAGAGTCAACATTTGAGTGAGTTACAGGCCCAGAACATTCTATTTTGTTCTGTTTAGGGAGTATATTTTTCAGTTTTTGAAGAGCTGATCCTTCTAAGACTGAAGAGGTTTTGGAAACTTGATACATAACATCCAGAAGACCAGAACCATCAGGTTGTGGTTTTGAAACAGAACTTACTCGTAGCTGAGGAATTTTTAACTGTACAGTAGGACTTGAAGTTTCATATTGAAGGCTTTCATTTTTTTCTTTAAATTGAGTGACCATTCTCTGTAGAGTTAACTGGTGGAGGTAACTGGAAGCTGTTGGGAATTTTAATTCTGAGGTTTCAAGTAGATTGAGTTTACTTTTTTCTGTGCGCTCTGCTTGAGCTCTTGCCCATAAGGCTACTTTTTGCAGCACTGCACAAGTTTCTTTACTGTCTTTATATGAGTAACTATCATTGAAATCTCGAGTTTTGTTTTTAAAAGATGCAGGCTTTCCTGCTGGTAAGGCTTCTAAGTGGAGAAGTAAAGTTTTTTGAGGTATGCCATAAAGTATGCCTGCTTTATTTATGTCCAATGCTCCAGACTGAATGTCTTTCAAAGCTTTTGAGAGCAAACCATCTGCAAACTCAGCACTTCTTTCCACATAGTCCTCTCTGTCTCTGTGTAGTCTCCTGGATGGATGGAATGAAACGATGGTAAACTGATGCATGAGAGACTCTCACACAGCTATGGAAGGGGAGGGTCCACTCCTTTATTATACTCCTTGCTTAGGTAACATCACTGCTTCTGACACTTTAAAGTCTTTGAGACGTGGTAGTTACTCCTTATCATAACAAATGCTATAGTCCTGGTAGGACAATGTGTCAATCATACAGTGGTCTCTACGGGCAGACCTTCCAAGAACTTAAAGTCCTAACTCAGTAATACATAATATTCTCATGTTGTTGCTATTCCCTCTGATAGATGCTTGCAGAGCAACACTGATATAATTTATACAATTAGTGTTCCATTATTAAAAATACCCAAATCCTAAAGGAGCTTTTGTTAGTAGAAACGTGACGTTACCGCTAAACAAGTAATAAAAGAGTCAACCCCTTTATAGGAAATTTATAGGAACATTACCAAACACAAACATCCCACACTTCCACAAGACTAAGTTTTCTATATCTAAAAACTTAAAATTCTATACTTAACCATAACCATATATTTGGATAATAAAACCCAGTTTTAGATATTTTTAATATCTGTTTATTTTTCTTCTAATGTATCATTGTAAAACTTCAAATTCATACAAAAGGTTTAATATGCATCTCATGATTCAAAAATGCCTGATATTCTTAGGTGAAACAAATTGTTCTTTAATATGCATAGCTGACAAAAGGGTCCTGCCAAAGCTAATAAAATGGGAAGATACCCGAATTACAACAAAATCTAATAGAATAGCATTTCATTAATGGCTATTTATTTAAATTAATTTAATGGTAGCTTTCGACACATAAAATAACTTTTTATGGTCACTGCTGAGTATATATCAAGCAGTTTGCCACCATCATACACCTAGGGAAAAATGCAAATCAATACTATGAGTTATTTTTCTCATTAAGAATTATTAAATACAGTACTTTTAAAACTTTTTCATGTTATTTTAAAAATTTAAGTATTGAAGTTAAATGTTCTGCTCAAAATGTTTCCTAAATAAATTCCTGAAGTAATTGAAATTATCTTTTGCAATCCTGCTTCTTAGTTTACATTCTATGATTAAACTCGCATTTTAGCAACATGAACTAAAGTTTGGTGATTGTTCTGATAACTTTTCTTTAACAGAAAGAGTTAAAAAAAAAAAGAAAGAAAGAAAAAAGACAAATGAAAGGTGTGATATAGACATTTATGAGTGGTAAAAATCCTGAAGAAAAACGATGTATAATGTGTATAAGTATACTCAATATATCATAAAAGTTTCTTCAAAGATATATTTTTGCATCAACTAATTATTATTTCCTAGATGTGGCTTACCCAGACATAGAATTTTCAGAAGATGGATCACATGTTGAGGACTCTTCGGATCTTGTGCTGGTTTTCTTTGTAGAGAGATCTAATACTCCATCCCCTATAATTTTTCAGAAAGAAAAAAAAAAAAAGATTGAATAAAAGTTTTAAAATGTAGGCATTTTATGTTTCACTTTTTGTCATTAAATTTATTCAACAATGTATCACTCTTCTGTTTCTACTTTTACCTATCATTTAATGGCTTCCTCAGCACAGAGCTAACTGTTGGAGATAGGCAGTGATTTGGAAGCAAGAGGAGCAATGAAGAGAAAGTTCTACAAGCTGGTACTATAAAATGATCAGATAATTATTAGTATAGAGAACTGGACAAAAGTAAAATAGGCATACTTCATACATAAATCAGTTCACTGACACTTCCTATCACAAAAGAAGGTAATTTGATTTTATTTAACCACATAAAATCAATCTTCAGCTATTCTTTCCTAACTTATTCATTTATTCAAAGCAGCCTCTGATGCACTATGTATTTTTTATGTAGGTGGCTTTTGGGGGGAAGGGAAGAGTTGTGTTTAGAGTGAGAGATGTAGGGAACAGGGTAAAATAGTAAAGAAAAGATGAATGAGAGCACAATATTTGAGAAAATCTTTCCAAATCTTCACAACTTAATATCCTTAGGAAGCATTCAAGTTTTTAGAGACTCTGATTGTATTTATTTGTTAGAAGAATGAAGGAGGAAGAGAAAGAAGAGAGAAATTAACACTAAGTATAAATGTTTATGGAATGATTTTGAACTATGTGTACTTGCTACAGAAAATGTACTGAGAAAAAGAAAGCATCAATTTTCAACTATAATTAAAAGTTTTTTTTTTTTAAAGGAAAGATACATGGGCAATCTTTAATTTATCCCACTAAATCCCTCCTTCTAAATTCTATGAAAGTGGGCAAAATTATTCAGTAATTATTATGTTGAGACTATTAGTCTTAGATGAGTCCAAATTTTAAACAGCAAAGTTCTACTTTCCATATGTGGTATCTATATTATTTTTATTGAAGCCCACAGTACTAGTGGCAGTTAGGTGGCTGAATATGGCACTGGTCCTGGAGTCAGAAAGACCTGAATTAAAATCTGGCCTCAGATTCTCGAAGTGTGACCCTGGGCAAGTCATTTAATCTTTGTCTGCCCCAGTTTCCTCAAACGTAAAATAAGGAGAGTAACAGCACCCATCTCCCAGTGCTGTTGTAAGGTTCAAATGAGAGAATATTCATTAAAATGTTTAGCCTAGTGCCTAGCACATAGTAGGTAACTAATCAATACTTATTTCCTCATTTCCTACAATAATACTTTACTACATCCATTTTGTAGTACTTAATATATAATTCTACTACTTTGAATTGTTCAAGGTTTAAAGTAGTTTTATCTTTCCTGTTTGTACTGTTGACCACTTCAGTCATTTGATACGGATCCTTCCAGTCAGGAACACAAACATCTCTCCACTCCCCATTATAATATTGTTCCTACTGGAAAATAGAACCTATTTTACAATGATATAATTCAAGACATTGTTACCAGGAGCATATTAAGACGAAAACTGAAGACTTTGTATTATAACATAATTATAATGTAGTTGACATACCACTCCAACATTCTGCTTTATGCAAATAAAATTTCAGTGTTTTAAACACTTTCCTGATCTAATGAAAAAGGTCCAGTTTATAAAATGGAAAAAGCTGCTCAATTGTTATATAGATCACTAAAATAATAAGCCCCTTTTAACAAAGAAAGATAAATTTTAAGACTATTTGTCATGTTAAAATTAGTGAGTTATAAAAATCAATTTTTTTTAGAAAGGTATGTGCTTACATTAATTTTATAATGTTAAAAAAATAAAAAATCTAAGACAATGTATAGGACTTTATGGTTATGGGCACCATTTTAGTACCTACATGATTATTATAAGAAAGCACTTCAAACAAATGCATATTCTCTCATGATGGTAAATAAGATTTTTACATTTAACAAATAAGCTTAAATGACTATACATTACAAATACCTAATGTTAAATGTGTCCTTATAATTACACTAAAATAGTACAACAGACTACTAAACCTGGAGTCAGAAAAAGCCTGTGTCTGCTTTGACACAGTTAACAATATGACTTAAGGAAGTCATAAGCTCTATAAGCATGTTTCCTTTGACTCTAAAATAGATATGTTGAAACTTAGGTTATGAGGAAAGCACTATTAGAATGTGAGTTATTTTTTAGATATACTTATTTACTATACAATGTGTCCCAAAAGCCTTAGTGCAGTTTTAGACTCCAATAGCTGAAACTGAATAGAGGTTTAGGCTATTAAAGTTTAAAACCGCACAAAAACTCTCAGAACATCTTGTATACATACATATGTATAACTGACACCCATTAAGAATGTTCTACATAATCAAGTCTTCAGAGTAGCTGGATGGTTTAATTCTTTAAAGTTTATATTTTTTTTAGTTTACATTTTTTCCTTAGACTAAAGCAGTGGTGAGGAACCTGCGGCCGTGAGGCCGCAACTGGCCCTCTAGGTCCTCAAGTGTGGCCCTTTGACTGAATCCAAAATTCACAGAACAAATCTCCTTAATAAAAGGATTTGTTCTGTAAAATTTGGACTCAATCAAAAGGCTGCACCCAAGGACCTAGAAATCCACAGGTGTCCTTGAAGTCACGGATTCTCTACCCCTGGACTAGTGTATTAAAATTGGTTGAGATTCTAGAGGTCATCTAGTCATGGGATCATAAAGTTAAAGCGTGGAGGCAGAGTCCAACTGATTCCTTTTACAGATGAGAAAATTGAGGCCCAGAGATATTAAGTGACAAATATATTTTCTGAAAAAGGTTTCATATCTATATTAGCTAAGGAACAGATTCAAATTTATAAAGACTCATTTCCCCAATAAATAAATGACTAAATGATATGAATAGGCAGTTTTCAAGTGAAGAAATCAAAAATACAAAAAAACTACATGAAAGAATGATCTAAAACAACTCTGAGGTTCTACCTCACACTTATCAAATTGGTTTAAAAAAAGGCCAAATAACAGTTGTTGGAGGGACTAAAAAATCCTAACAAAAACAAAAAACCAACAAGTTTCAGAAGTTGATTCTAAAAGACCTAAGGAAGCTGGAATGTCAAAACTAACAAGATTAAATTTTATAAGAATAAACATAAAATCCTGCAGAGAGTTTAAAAAAATTAGCTGTAAAAGTATAAGCTTATAAGAAACCTGGTTCATATGGAATAAAACAAAAACTTCTGAAGGTACAGCGACAAGACTGCCAAAAACTCTAATGCAATCCTAGACTTGTATCCTGTCTGAAACAAAGGTAGTTACAGTTTCACTCTATTTAGTGCTAGTTAGATAATATCTTGAGTACTGCATTAAATTCTGGATATAATATTTCAAGAGACTTGACTAAATGAAGATTGTAGGGAGAAGGCTGAGTAAAATGTTGAAAAACCTTTAAATTATACCATACAATTAATGGTTAAAGGAAGTAGTGGAAAATGCTTAAGGGAAAAATAGTAGCTGTCTTTAAACATTCTAAGAGTTCCATGTCAAAGAGGGTTTACATTTTTTCTATTTAGTGCCAGAGGGCATAAAGAAGAAGAAAAGATGTGGAAATCACAGAAAAGATGATGAATGTTGAATACAAGTACAAATTTCTTAACATCCAGAGGTAACCAAGAGGAGCCTTAGGAAGTAGTAGATTTTCCCCTCATTTGAAGACAACATACAAAGGCCAGACAACTACTTGTCAGGGATGCTGTAGAAAGGATTCTTAGGTATGGGTTGGACCATACGGCATCTTAATTCTCTCCCAATTCTTGATGCATATAGTCATTATTTTGAAGATAAATAACTCAATCTACTCAAGTGAATAGGGTTGATTTACCTTATAGTATGAGGTCTCAGAAGTCTTTGTTCACTTGTATTATTTTGCCTGTACCTTATAATTTTTCTTCCTCTACTTCTGTTGTAAATGTAGTTATTCTACCAGTTGGTAGTACCTACTGTGAAATATTCACTTCTTTTAATTCACTACTTTGAATCTACTACAGTCTTAGAAACTAGATACCCCACTTCTTTTTAGAATACTTTGGTTGGAAAGCAAAAGTACAAAGGTTTTGGTTTTTTGGAGTTTTCTTTTTTTTTGGATTGAGGTACATAAAGTTACTTCCTAGTTTTTAACTAGGTTCTAGGTAAGCAAAGTGTTAGAGATATGAAGTATTTTATTTGTGTTCCAAATGTTCTTCATAAAGTTCAAATTGTGGACCATCGTAAAACTGATAAAGTTCAAAAAGAATTTTGAGTGAGTATACAATCTGTTCATTTTCTTTGAGACAAGACTGTAGAAAGAGACAATACATTTACTTAGGAACTTTCAGAGGAAGTCAACTATTTCTCAGAATGTTATTATCTTAGGAGTCTGAATGTATCCTTGACATTCAGTGCCTATATGTTACAGAACTCTGTTACCCACTGTGGGACATCCACAATCTAGATTAAATATGATCCCTGCTATCATGGAACTTCCTGTGCAACAGGAGGTTAAGACATACACACCATTATGTACATTCATTAATATGTTGCAAAACAAAGTGCTGTGTGAAATAGCAAAAACCAGAGCATATTTACACAAGGCTTTAAGGTTTGTCAAGTGCTTTACATCCATCCAAGCCTCAAAACAACCCTGTGAGCTAAAAGATTAGCCAAAATATACAATAATGATCATTTCAGAATGTATGCAACATTCTGTGAGAAGAATCTCTGTATTTGTTTTATGGTAACAATAGTGTGTTTTTTAAGTGAGTTTTTTAAATTAGCACTTTGTTTTTATATTGCTTGCATTTTCAATATTGGTTTTTCAATTACGCAATCTTTTCACTTACACTATTGTAGACAGATTCTTCTGAGTAAGTTTGGAAGTGATCTTGTATTGATGAAAATAATGTTTGTTTTGAAGCCAGTAAACTTGGGGTCAAATCATAGCTCTGCTTAATCTCTCTGGGTTTTAGTTTCTTCACTTATAAAATGAGGGAGTTGGACTAAATGACCTA